TAGAGAGAGACAGAGCATGAACGGGCGAGGGGCAGAGAGAGAGGGAGACACAGAATCGGAAACAGGCTCCAGGCTCTGAGCCATCAGCCCAGAGCCCGACGCGGGGCTCGAACTCACGGACCGTGAGATCGTGACCTGGTTGAAGTCGGACGCTTAACCGACTGCGCCACCCAGGCGCCCCGAAATCGTGTATCTTAAGGAGCAGGGGACAAGCCAAGGGGAAATGTTAAGTGCCTTGTGAGGAAATTGGCAATGACAACAATAGCCAATCAAAGGTGAATGGCTACTATGGGCCAACAAGGGTAGAGCATTATGACAGTCCTATCAGGCAGGCATTACTGTTATTATTTTACAGATAAGAAAGCCGAGTTCAGACAGGTTGAGCCACTCGTTCGCTAATGCACGGCAATATATCGTGGAGCCAAAGTTGAACTCAGGACTGCTCAACCTCACAAGCCACGGTTCTAAGCTTTTTTTTTTCTGATTTCACTGTTTAAGCAGGTGATTACATTTCAGTGTTCTCGATTTAGAAAAGTCACTGCAGGATGTTCAGTGAAAATTCCTTCCCTCACCACCGCCACCCGGCTCCATTCCTCACGGACAGCTAGTGCCGTTAGATTATGTGTGATATTCCAGAGATATTTTAGTCTTTGATCTGCTGCACAAGTGACAGCAGATTACACACACTGTTCTGAACCTCACACTTTTTTGCAGAGGAAAATGTCCTGTGGAGCAAGCACCCCGCATCGGTACCTAACGGGCCTCCTGGTGCTATTTTCCAGCTGTAGGATCTCACTGTGGTGTGGATGCCAAGGTCCTGTTTACCAGTCCCTGGTCAGTAGACTTAACGGGTGTTTCCATCTTCCAAATAGAGTAGCTGATGCACGTTACTCTGAGCAAACTCCACTCCCTCTGGAGGGACCTTGAGATCCTCCCAAGGCAATCAGGCTCCTCTAAGCTGAGAGACACAGCAATACTTCGGGTTGCCCTAACCGGTGGGAGTTTACAGGGAAGGCCGGAAAGAGGGGGAACTGAACACAGCTGGAGAACAGCAGGAGGCGGAACAGCTTCTCCCAGGCACCGGGCACCTCTGCCCCCGGCAGGGGTGAGGTGGGCCATCAGCTACCCTCACTCTGCTCCCAAGCCTCCCTCTCCCATCTTGTGCCCCGGAGTCCAAACTTCGGCACAGGAGAGGGGCAGGGTCTCCGGCACGCGGATGCCTGGGGAGGCTTGGGGAGCTGTTGGCCCGTCAGATACCCTGGGAGCACAGTCCACCCCTAGTCCCACCAGGTGTAGAAAAGGTAGTGGGGTCAAGAGGGTGAACATGGGAGAGCCTGTGCATAAAGGGCCATGTCCCCAGAAAAGGCTTGGCGTTCCTTGCTCAGAGCAAAACAGACTCTCTGCCGGTACCCCTGGCCCAGCGATTTCAGAACCGCTGGGGAGGAATTTAAGTGAGCTGAACTCCAGCCAAGCAAGTGAGGCCGGAGTCAGAGTCAGAGGCTCTCTTAATGTTACCTTGGTTTTAGAACCAGGATGTTTCAGTCTGGGGGGCAAAAATGATCCCAGGCAACCACTGGTGAGGCTTTCTAGCTTAAAAAAACAAGCTCACGTACCTTAGTTCACCACAGTCTCCTGAAGCGCCTATTATCAGTAGCGTTCCCATTTTATGGATGAGGAAAACCGAGGCTCGAGAGGTTGTATGAGTTACCTGGGATCACACAGCCAGTCAGCAATGGAGCTGAGACTCAAATCCAGGCCCTGTGACTCCACTTGGTGCTTGCTTGTGATTCCTCACGTCGCTACAGTAGCCCCTCGCTTATGAGTGGGGCCCGCGCTGCAAGACCCCCAATGCCACCTGAAACCACGGATAGTGCCGACCCCTACATACACCGCGTTGTTTCCTAGACGGACATACCTATGTGACCTGTAAATGAAGCACAGTAAGAGATTAACAACAATAATAAAATAGAGCAATTATAACAATACGCTGTAATCGGGGCGCCTGGGTGGCTCAGTCGGTTAGGTGGCCGACTTCAGCTCAAGTCATGATCTCGTGGTCCGTTGAGTTCGAGCCCCGCGTCGGGCTCTGTGCTGACCGCTCAGAGCCTGGAGCCTGTTTCAGATTCTGTGTCTCCCTCTCTCTGACCCTCCCCTGTTCATGCTCTGTCTCTCCCTGTCTCAAAAATAAATAAACGTTAAAAAAAAAATTAAAAAAAAAAAACAATACGCTGTAATAAAAGTCACGGTCTTCCTCCCTCTCAGAATATCTTACCGTACGTATGCTTCTTGTGGTGACGGGAGATGATAAAACGCGCACGTGACGAGATGAAGGCACGGGAATGACATAACCGTTGTGATGCCGCCTTAGGCTACCATTGACCTTGTGTTGATGCGTGAGGAGGGTGGTCTGTAGCTGGACACGGTGGGCTGCGGGAACTGAAACCACGGATAAGGGGGGCTCCTGTACTTGAGTTTCTGCCATTCCCCAATGGCGGTGCTCCCAGCTCTCTCTGGGAGGCCCCCCGCTCCCCTCCCTCTCTGTGCTCGGGCGGGTTGTTCTCATTCACTGCCTTGCCTTAGTCTCATTCCGAAAGGTCGATGGCCCCCGGTTTCTCTGCCCAGCCCAGGCCTTCCTCCCGAGTTCCATGCTCGTCTATCTACTATCCTACTGGACGCCCCCACGTAGCCGCCCAAGTCACCTCAAGGTCTTTCTCCCTAAACCACGTCCCCTCTTCCTCTGTGCTTTCTCAGTAGCAGTAGCTTCCCTTGATCAAGCACACCATGTGCCATTGTATGTTGGCAAGACAGGGGTACCGTCATCCCATTTTACAGATGAAGAAGCCAAGGCACAGAGATGCTAACTTACTGGCACAGGGCCATAGCTCTAAGTCATTGACAGCCGGGATTCAAACTGAGCTCTGTCGCGCATTGCTCCCACATTAGGCTGTCCGGGAACTACAGGCCACGGTTGTCCATCCTGTTGAACGAATGAGGCAGAAGTCGTGGGGCGCCCTCTTACTCGTGCTTCCCTCTCCCCCACCCCGCCCCTGCCCCCCCAGCTGCTCCAGAGCCAAATCAGTCCATTCTGCCTCCTGAGGGTCTCTGAGGTCGTGCCTTCTCTCCATTCCCATCACCACTCACTCAGTTCAGCCCCTAAATGACGGCTTCCCCCGATACTGAAAAAGCTCTGTCTCCGGCATCAGCCCCTCTCTCTCTGGGAATGAGCCTTCTAAAATATACCCGAGCGGGGAGGGGGGCTGGGGGGCTCAGTCAGGTAAGCGTCCGACTCTTGGTTCCGGCTCAGGTCATGATCTCACGGTTCGGCTATACACCGAGTGTGGAGCCTGCTTGGGATTCTCTCTCTCCCTCTCTCTGCCCTTCCCTCGTGCTCTCTCTCTCTCTCTCTCCCCCTCTCACTCTAAATAAATAAATAAATAAATAAATAAATAAATAAATAAATAAAACCAAAGTAAAAATGAAATACACCTGATCATCACATGCCACTGGTTAAGAGTCTCCGAAGACTTCCTACTACCTTGAGGATGAAATCTCAAGTCCCCGAGACTGCCTCTGCCTGTCCCTCCGTGCCACCTCTTGCTGGGTCTCTGCAACAGCCCGTAGCATAATGAATAAAAAATAGGCTCAGCTCTTGGAGGTTTCCACGAATGGAGCCAATATGTATGCTCTGTCCATGGCACATGCTGCTAAGCCAGGTCGTCTATACTGCAGTCCAGTGACACAGAATAAAGCCTGGATGAGAGGTGTTCAGATGCGACACAGAGAAAGACTGAATTGTGCACAAACTACTGACAAGTGTCCAGTAATCTAACAAGCTGTCGTTTACCCACTCGGTCACATTCATATTGTCTTCGGCAAAATGTAGTTTGGTTTTACAACCGGGTCACCAATTACACCCAGGATGGCAGGATGTGTTACTGAATGATTTATCGCTCCACACCTCATAGAAAAGTGCACTTTTTTTTTTTTTTAATTTTTTTTTTCAACGTTTATTTATTTTTGGGACAGAGAGAGACAGAGCATGAACGGGGGAGGGGCAGAGAGAGAGGGAGACACAGAATCGGAAACAGGCTCCAGGCTCTGAGCCATCAGCCCAGAGCCTGATGCGGGGCTCGAACTCACGGACCGCGAGATCGTGACCTGGCTGAAGTCGGATGCTTAACCGACTGCGCCACCCAGGCGCCCCAGAAAAGTGCACTTTATACATTTTCCAAAACTATTCAACGCAGAGAGCATAATTTTTGCTCAGCAGAAGGAGGATCTGGCTGTTTGATGCTCATTAGCATATTAAAGCCCCAGAGAAATCCAGCAATGCAGAAAGTAGAGCGATGTTGTTCACAGTTTTCTCTCTGCACATCTATCTAGTAACATCTTCTAGAAATGTTTCCTGTCCACAGATGTTTGGGGAAGCACTGTAATCCAGGGCAGAGTCTCTAAAGCCTTCTGGAATTTCACCTACTCTGAAGGCGGGATGTAATTGCAGATTGCCACTCTGCCTTGAACAGCTTGGGTGGATTCCCACCGGTGTTTCAAGATTCAGTTCAGGTACCACTTTTTCCCAGAAGCCATCGCTCTCTCTTGTTTCCACACACATACACACACACGTTTGTGACATGTAAATTGTATATAATCCCATAACACCCCTCTCTCACATTTTCTATTGTTTTAAATTATTTTATTTTGAGAGAGAATGAGACAGCACGAGTGGGAGAGGGGCAGAGAAAGAGAGAGAGAGAATCCCAAGCAGGCTCCACACTGTCAGCACAGAGCCCGATGCGGGGCTCAAACTCATGAAACCGTGAGGTCAAGACCTGAGCCGAAACCGAGAGTCAGATGCTTAACCGACTGAGCCACCCAGGTGCCCCTTCTATTGGCTTTTCTGGAAAATCCAGCTCGGACTGACTACAGCTGAGATAGAATTACGGGCTCTGGCACTGGAAGCTTGCTGCTAGAGCAGCTCCTGCCTTACTCCCTCCCAGGTTCAAGTTCACTGGAGGGCAGCACCTGCCTCTTCAGCAGACCCATCCCATTGGCCACATGTCTGATCACTGCAGGAATGTGGCCTAGACCATGGGGGCCACCTCGGAAGTTGGGAGGAGAAAAGCTCTCAGGTAGCCCCCCCCGCCCGCCACCCTGCCCCGATCACATAGGGCCCACTGCTGGGGCCTTACCTCCCTCTACCCAGCCCTCCCAGGGTCAGTGTGTGGCTGATTCTCTGGACCCAGCGTGACATGGGCCAACTTTTCCTTCCTCATCTCACTGTTGCTGCTGGTTTTCTAACTAAGTGTTTGAATGCTGTGAAAGTGAATTAAGTCCTGCCCTGAGACGCATGCTGGTGGTAGTAAAAACACCATCTGTTCCAGGAGAACACCCAGCCAGGAGGGCTGATCCCACGTATGAAGACTTGCAGGCACTGTGGGGACATTTTCCTCACCCTGCTAGGTCATTTTCCCCACTGATTTTGCCACTAGCATTTGAACAAGTTTGGTTTCAAGGGGACGTCTTCAATTTGTAGAATTTGAACAACAAATCCTGCTGGGCAGAGCTTGTCAGAAGTGAGGAGGGAGAGCTGGCCAAGAGTGATTTCGTGGAGCCCCCTGAACACACTTCACTGGCTCCACACCCACCTTCCAAGGACCAAATTCAAACTCTGTAAGTGACCTTCAAGCCAGGCTCATCCCTCAGCACAACCTGACTTGCGCTTGACCTTCCAGCACCTCAGAACCGCACATGGCACCCACATCCACCATTCCATGCCCTTGCTCACGCTCTTCCCCTCTACCTGATGCCTTCCACCTCCTGTTGGCCCGGTTAACCGCTGTCTTTTAAGCCTCGGCTGTCACCTCCTCCAGGAAGACTTCCCTGATCTTTCTGCCTATTGAGAAGTAAGCATTGTATGCATTGTAATCATTGTAAGCTTCCAGTAATACGTTGTAAGCATTTCTATTCCTCTGAGTTGAGGGTAGGAGGTACCGATGCCTCGCATTCAATGTACAGCCTGGTATGTTGTGGATATTCAACACAATTTTTTAATGACAACGAATACATTCATACAGGAATGAACCTTGGTCCCTGGCATTCCAGCCCCTAAACCCCTGATACCCCTTCTGGGTATCTGTCCCACATTTTCACTGTTTTATGTCTTTCCTTCCTTTCTTCCCTTCCTTCTTCTCTCCCCTCTCCCTTTCTCCCTTCCTCCCTTCTTTCGCTTTCCCTCCCTTACCCCCAGCTGCCATTAAAATCTTCCAACAAGAAAGCTTCCAATAAACTCAGCCTAAACATAAATGACTAAGAGGACATATTACGTCTCCACCCACCACTGCCACCACCAGTGGGGATTTTTTAAAACCCCACGCACGGTCTTAAAGCTAAAGGAATAAAACTGTGACACTGGGGTTTAGGCATTGGCTGGAAGGGATCATCTCGGGTCTGTGAGGCCCCACTGGCCCCTCCTCTGCTAACACTCATCTTCTCTGCTACTGGGTGACAGAGCAACGTGTGTGCGAGGTCAGAGGAGATGCTGCTACCCAGCAGAAAAGTCGTGAGTAAAGGGAATGTGCAGTTCTTAGTGGTTGGGCGTTTGGACCCTAGAACAGACTGTCATCCACTGTTGTGTGACCTTGGTCACTCAACTTCTCTGAGGGTGAGTAGAAAATGCTCATCTCGGGGCGCCTGGGTGGCGCAGTCGGTTAAGCGTCCGACTTCAGCCAGGTCACGATCTCGCGGTCCGTGAGTTCGAGCCCCGCGTCAGGCTCTGGGCTGATGGCTCAGAGCCTGGAGCCTGTTTCCGATTCTGTGTCTCCCTCTCTCTCTGCCCCTCCCCCGTTCATGCTCTGTCTCTCTCTGTCCCAAAAATAAATAAATAAACGTTAAAAAAAAAAATGCTCATCTCATAGGGACAGTCAAGATTAAATGAGATAATCCCTGCAAAGCACCTAGCACAGTACTCGACTCAGTCAGTACTTGCCAAATGTTAAATATCCTGTCATTGTGACATGACAAAGCGCGCCAAAAGTTAGGGGCTTAAAACAACAATAATTTATTATTTCCTCGCAGATCTGGGGATTCTCCCTTAGGGTCCCTCATGTACGAACAGTCAGATGGTGAGGGGGCTAGAACCGCCCCGAAGGTTCTCCCATATGTCTGGCACCTGTGGCTGAGAAGACACAAATAACTGATGGTTGAATGGCTCCCCAACCGTCATACTCTGTCTCTATAGCATGAGATATATACATGTTTGCTCTATGGACTCTCCAGAATGGTGGTTTCAAGTAGCCAGACTTCTCACATGGAGGCTCAGGGCTCCAGGGAAAGTGGACACAGACACAGACACAGACACAGACACAGAGACCTGACCTTTCCTGACCTAGCATCAGAAGTCTCAAGGCATCACTTCCTCCATACTTTTTTGGTCAAGGCAGTCACACAAGCCCATCCAGGTTCAAGGGGAGGGAGCACAGTCTTCACCTTTTGATAGGGGGGTAGCAAGGTTCTAAAAGAATATGTGGTGCGGGAAAGACTGTTATGACCATTTTTGGGAAATACAGTCTGACACAGTATTATCACAGATTCCAAAGCAGGCTACAGGCTCAGAGCTGTCAGCACAGAGCCCAGCATGCGGCTTGAACTCATGAATCATGAGATCATGACCCAAGCAGAAGTCAGATGCTCAACTGACTGAACCACCAGGCACCCTCTTGAAAAATTTTTTTTTAAGTTTATTTACTTATTTTGAGAGAGAGAGAGAGAGTGTGTGTGTGAGCAGGTGAGGGACAGAGAGGGAGGGAGAGAGAGGGAATCCGAAGCAGGGTCCATACTGCTAATGTAGAGTCCAATGTGGGGCTCAAACTCATGAACTGTGAGATCATGACATGAGCCTAAGAAATCAAAAGTCGGACGCTTAACTGACTGAGCCAGCCAGGCGCCCCTCTAGAAATATTTTAAAGCACTGGATTGGTTGAATAAATTGTAGATTTAGGAGCTGAGCCTGAAAATAGACATGATATGGGGGATCTGCAAGAATCACAGAACATAAAATCCTTTTCCGCAGAAAGGGGACATGGGGATAGTTGCTCATTATCAAATGTACAACAGTTACACACAACTCACAGCTCAAATTGCATTCAATTACTCAAAACAAAGCTTACCAAATTTTGTTTAAACTGCTGGAGAAAATTAAACTAATTTATCTGCACCCGCTAAAAATGATTTGTTCTATTTCTAACACATAATGTCTTTGAGGCTCTGGCAGCCTTGCTTTGTCATAGTAACCAATGCTAGAATGCATTAGCCTGATTGTGCTCCAGCCTTCCCACGGGCCTAGATGGGAAGGTGTCGAAGGAGGAAGGGACGCACGAGCACCCTCATGTTGCCTCACGCATGGGCAGAGGAGATGTCTGTGCCTGTGTGCATGGAAATGACTGGTGAGCCCCTGGGACTGTGATTTCCTCCACTTCTGACATCCCCTAAAGGGCTTCTTTTTTTTTATTTTTTTACGTTTTTTTGAGAGAGAGAGAGAGAGAGAGAGCGCATGAGAGTGGGGGCGGGGAGGAGAAAGCGAGAGACCGAATCCCAAGTAGGCTCCACG